TGACATGAGTGGCATGGGACGCACTTTGATTGTGGGACAAGTTAGCCGTAAGAAGAGCATACGCCGCCGCCGCACATCCGTTCTTTTCACACTCGGACCGGCGTGCCCGCTTGACTCACGTCGACCCCGGGAAAGCGAACCTGAGTGCGGCTTCGCTATCAAGGGTCAAGGGTATTAAGACATCGCAGATGGGTGGTTGCATGACAAGGTACCTCTGGGCAATGGAATTAAGTTCCTCGTCCTCGCTGTCCGTGTTGAAGCGGAGGGCAGACATGAAGGCGAGGATAGCTGCTGTGATACATGGGCCCGAAAATCTTAGTTCGAATTGAAGCGAAGACTCGTGACTCGACTCGACCATTCATGCAGACCAAGCCAAGCCGAGGAACGCATTCCCGGCAAGGTTCGCCATTTGCACTTGCGTCAGGCCACAGTTCTCGCCATCACCAATCTGATTGATGTCGAATCCTTGCATCGCTAGCATCTCCGAACCTCAATATAGCCAAGACATCAAGTAACAAGTAATACAAGTCCAACGACTCTGACTCGACGTTAGTAATGTTACTGGAATTGAATTAATGGTAGTCCAAGGCTCCAAGCAGCCATCTGTTGTGCGTGGTGCTCCACAGACGCATTTGCGGCAGGATGGTGGGCACAACCTGTGGCAAGCAGCAGTAAACGCACCAGCAGCACAACAGCACAACGGTGGTGATGGTGATGGTGGCGGAGGGCTATGCCGGTGGTGATCAGTGATATTGGCGACTGGCTTAATTCTTAAGTTTTAAGTTATAAGTTGTCGTCATTGTTTTTATTTGTTGTCAGAGTTATCCACAGCCGTGTCATCATGTACTCCAGGCTGCAAGAGCTAGTCAGCTGATTGACTGACAGTCAAGGAGGTGATATGGCCTTCGAGTCGAACGTAGAGTGAACCAGGCGGTTCACATTCTGAGTTATGTCCACAAAAGCCATCTGACTTTCGCCTTCTTGAAGGCGTCGCTCATTCCACAGTTGCACGAAGCATACGACCTTCAACAAATCCAATAATAGGATCAACTCAAGCATGATCAACAGCATGCAGCATGACTAAGACATTGCCTGGGCAAACTTGTGATGTGACTTCTGCACAACGCTGACTTCGATATGTGAGACTGGTTGTAAACGCTTTCGAGTGCTCCATGCCCGCCTCCTGTTCTCGCGGCGTCAGATGCTTGAACCAAGGCGACACTTGCAGGTTGCTGGGCTGCACCACTGGCCATTGCACTCCGTCTTAGAAACAAGCTCATCCGTCACCAGGGCCACAAAATGGAGAACACCAAAGAGAAGCAAAACCATGTCACATGATCACAGAAAAAAATAAGGCTGCAACATTGCTCAGCCATTGAGATGTGGATATCTCTCCACTTGTCACCCTTCGAAGACGATGGAGACGGGGCGGCGGCCTGAGCGGCCCTGTGATCGAGTCGCTCAAGCTCCTCGTCCAGGATATTGTCATCTGGCATAAGCATGAAGCATTCCTCAGGCCAGCCAATCATGGTTATGTAGCAATGGCAGCATTAGTGGCGAGATGACGAGTCACCATCCTCCACATGAAAGAACTTGACTGGACCGAATTATAATATTCCTGCTAGGCAGCTGGATCATCGGCCCTCTTCTGCAGCATAACAAGTCGATCTCCAACTCTTGACAAAACGTCTTGAGCTGAGTCCGCTGTCACTGCGGAATCCCGCAGCCCGAAAAAGTACAGCCTGCTCCGCCTTTGTGGCAAGCCAAAGTCGTCGGACCGCATCTTCTCGACTGTCACGGTGTAGCCGAGCTCCTTCAGCCAAGCTAGGATCATCTCCAAATTCGACTTGCTCGGCCTTGTAGCATATGGGCTGGGCTCGGTGTGCTCAAGAATCAAGCGACATATTACGAGTCACACATCAACGAACCATCCCAAGTCCAAGTTACTCCTTGCCTTCATCATTCTGCCCACTGCTTTCCACAGAATCAACATTCTCAAGGATAAAACATAGCGGCTGCATCTGGCTGATCATGTGGCACACTCCCTTGAATGTGACAACAGATGAGCATTCCTGAGTGACCGGGTGGATTTTATTTCTAGGTGTCTAGGAGTCTAGGTCTAGGTGTTAGAGTTAGTAGAAATTAGTAGAAATAATCAAATAATAACAATAATCATAACTAATTACGTTGGAAGTTAGACGTCGTCAGGAGTCAGGAGTCAGAAGTCATGTGCTTCGGGTCGCTAAGATAGCGACATGATTGCACACAGATGGCACATAACGGACTGAATCAGAACACTCGAGCGACTGAGTTCATGACAATATTCTCGGACATCGCACGCTTCAGCTGATGGAAATCATTGTTCATCCTGCTCAGTGACCTTTGCTGGTCTCTGTCCTTGCCAACACCCTGCGTGACCACGCTTTACTAGGCTTTTCATCGAAGCCGCTTGCAGCTGAAACCGGCAGCAAATATGGACAGGGTGTCCGTATCATCCACTGCGCTTGAACACAGCTCCTGAGAAAACCCAGTGCATGATGCAGGTCCTAACAAACCGAGCACCATAGTGGTAGCCAAGCTACACAGTTATTCTCATGTGTCAAACACATCCGAGATGTGTCATCATTGAGCTTCGTGATATCCTTGAAGATACAGCAGTCGTTGTCCTTGCAAGTCAGTCAAACATACAAGCATGCTCATGCTATCATGCTGGTCTAGTCAAGTCTAGTGTTGCATTCGTCTCGCACCGTGAGTGAACTAACACGCTGGCCCAGCGGCCAGCACATGCTTCCGGAGGAACTTTTGTTTGAAAGGCATGATTTCACACGCCACGGTCGTATTCACCTCAGCACAGCCATCAGTGAGCAATCATAGCAGTTCGACAGTCGACACAACAAGTTGGTTACGTGCTTGCTGAGTTGGGTCGTGCATTGTTCATAACGCTGGCAAGATTCTTCTATAAGTTTTGTTTCCCAAATCGCTCAACAACGAACCCATAGCTGCACGTGCGGCAAGCTCGAAAGACCCGCTCCCGGTACATGCCGAAAGCAATCTAATCTTCGATGGCATGCTATCGACAATCGTTGCGAGCACACCGCGGCCCAGCTTCGATGCAAGCTGTGCTACTTGCTCCTGCAGTTCAGCCACATATCTGCAAGCAACCCTCAGAAAGAAGCAAGCAATATGCCAATATGCCTCTCCTGTGCAATCTCGTCAAAAGACAGCAGCCCGGCGTTGCCGGGGTCATCTTCATCTTTGCCGGAAGCTTTCCCATCCTGATCGACTCCTGGCACATACAGTCATGTACACAGTCCGAATTCAACGTCACGAGTCAAACTCAAACAGTCAAACTTCTCAAACTATAAGTCCCTGTCACGATGTCGCTGCAGCTAATGCAACCGTTGATTTACCGACAATGACATGTGTCTCGGGCTGTCCTTCTGGTGGTTGCGAAGGGGAGGGGGAACAAATCTGTGTCTCGAGTTCCGCAATAAGCTGATTCTCCTCTTCCTCGTCAATGACTCTCGGCTGCGGCGGTGTCGCCACAGCACTCGATTTCGGATCACTCGACCCAGAAGCCATAGCCGATTCGCTGTCCTCACCTGGAGACAGCTTTTGCCGCTTATCACCGAATGCAGTGGCGCCGGCGCCGGTAGTGGTTTTGAAAGCCGTCTTCCAATAGTCTGTCAGAGGCTGATGAGCCACGTTGTCTTGAGCAGCTTCTGGGGGGGTTACCAAAGTCACCTTCCGCAACTCACCAGTTGCGGGATCTGGTCGCTCAATCACATTCATTGAAGTGGTTGGGTCGGCCTTAGCTTTGGCTTTGGCTTTGGCTTTGGCTGCTGGTGGCTTCGCTTTCGGAGTCTGCTTCGCTTTGGCTTTGGCTGGTGAGGGTGACTTCGCTCTAGCATTTGCACTCTTCTTCGGCGGCATGGCAACGACAACGAAGAGTCTGCGTAATTGAAATGTAATACTGTGCAAGAATATATCACTGTCAGTTTGTCATCAACAAGCCGGACGGTTACGGCTACTGTGAACTAACTGCTCTGAAGTTGGCATCCGGACTGAGCCTTAATGGGCTGTTCTGCCACAACTGGATCAAGCGATGACAAGTGAGTGCTGGAGCTGGAGTCAGCCTGCGTCTGAGTCAGCACATGCCGCCACACAAACTCATCAAGACTCCATTGAAATGCAGCTCTTTTCGCCCCTCGTCTTTCTATGCGCTGAGTTTGTTGTGATTTTCGACATGCTCGAATTGCAAACTGCAAACTGCGACATTTCTTGTCAATTGATTTGATGTTTCTGAAGTGTTCTAAAGAAATGATATTGTACACCGCGAGCTCTATGTGCCCGACTTAACATCCATCTGTCCTGGCCCCAGATCGCCAATGCTGCCCCAGCAGGCTTACTGCAAGGCGCGACATCTATAATACACAATACACACTGCACACGTAGAACTGGACATCAATAACCGGTACAGATATCAGCTATACGGCTATACATAGTCAAAGTTATTAATGTTATTAACTTACAACTTATAACAACTTATAACTTACGGATGAAGAAACATGTCACTCGGACATTGGATATTGTTGTCGGTGCTAGGTCCTAAATCCTGTACAGATCACTGCAAGTCTTGCTCTGCAGTGACAAAGACATCACGGTCTTGTTTTTTGATGTCAGCTAGAGCCACATCGTGTGTGCGTGTGCGTGGGTCACGCAACTGCACTGTCGCCCGGCATGATCAGATCAACGAATGGCTAAGCGTTGGGTATTGACAGTGTTGGACCGATTATCATAGAATCATAGAGTCATAAATAACGTGAACCGTGAACCGTTCACACACGCACATGACCACCGCAAACTACGACTGTCTCGAATTTGTCACTTGACTTAACTAACACAGCACTACCACACTACCACATCAAAGGCAGTGTAACCAACATGCACAATGCATGCTGTCATAAGCATAGAGAGCATTTCAAATTCGGTGCTGTGCCTCACTGTGCTGCATTGGCTTGGGCCTCCGCCTTCACGTCGAACTGAATGATCTTCGACGCAAGTGCCTGCAGCGACACAGGGACCTCCAAGTTGTTGTCCGCCGCTGCAGCGAGGGCATCTTTCAGCGAAGTGATTGCTTTCCCATTTGGCTTTGTCTGGGTCTGCAAAGCCCTTCGCACGGCCTTGCTGGTCAACGAGTAAAGCATGTTGCCTGTGACCAGCCACTTCAAAGCACTCCGGTAGCTAGTCTCATGGTTCACGAGGTTGGGCACCACGTCTTCAACCTTCATACCCATGCCAGACGCAATCTCCTTGGCATGCCGAATCGCTTCCTCGAGCTTCGTAGCTTGAGTAGAGACCTCAGTGGTTTTTGACATACTGAAGTGGACATCTGTCAAGGAGTCCTTGGTCTTTGCAATGTCATCGAATGACTCGATCGCGTAGATGCCATCATGAATCTCGACCGTGCTTTCGTCGATTGCCGCACCGTCCAGATGCTCCTTGATTGCAGTCGACAGCGTTGTGAACTCGGTGTCCCTCAGGTCGCGCATGGTTGTTGCTGACTGAGTCAAGATAGCCAGCGCTTCGTCCGAAACTACTGTAGTCACTGAGTTCAGCTTGGCCCATGCATCTGAGTAATCCATGTCAACCAATTTGTTGCACGACATGATGAAGTCGACGATGATCTTCTCCTCGATCACCGTGTTGGGTTCTCGATCACGAGCAGATACACTGCTTGTGAGGCACGTGTATAGCAGAGCCAGTGCTTCGGTGCCATTCCTGACTGTGGCTCCATCCTCGCCTAAGACTGTTGACGCCAGCTTGGCTGCTTCGATCTTGGCAAAGAAGTTCGTCGTGTCCTCAGCAGTCGGACCGGGCCCATCGACATTCGACACCACCGCCACGACAGTTTTGATGAGCTCGTCGATGTTTGACATGGCTTTGTCTTTCACATGACCTCGCAATGCAATATCGATAGCACTGCTCACCGTGTCACACGACGATTGGACCGTCGTCAAAATGGATGCCATCCTCGTTGCATCCTCGCCGTCTGGGGCGGCGGCGGTAGCCTTGGTGGCACAAATGTCCAGCGTCCTGTTGAAAATCCAGGCCTTAGTTTTCCACTGCGATGACAAAGCTGATGCTTCCGCCTCTGGAACTGACTCTGCGCTGCACTTCTCAGCCAGAGTTGATGCGAACTCGCTCAAGTCCTTCAGCTTGTTCAAGACCATCCCCTCGCCGTTGCTACAGTACTGACCGCAATCGTCAGCAAGCTGCATGATGCAACAGCTCGATGGCAACATTGTTGATGCACAGGTCTCCTTCGCTGAAAGGCAACGGCTTAGCTCGTTCAGATAGGGCAGAAGCTCATTGTTCAGGCAGCCAAACACAATCGCCAAAACTGCTTGCTTAGCAGTCTTCTGAACACGAAGTAGCTTATCCCGATCGGCACCGCGCAAACACTTGACAGGCTTGTCGTGCAACTTCCGCAAATAGGCCGTGACCTGCGCACCGTGGTCCTGGCTGAAAGCTGCCTTCAATGACACCAACGTCGCCTGAGATTGGAAGCAACAACCTGCAACTCTGACCCGAATTTGACTCAAACATCTCAAACAGAGCAGCATGTCAAGATATCAAGGATTTCTAAGCGACCTCCAATATCAGTACATAGATCAAGACATGATGCTGACTCAATGGTACACACGGAGCATGCCATCAAATACTGTTCCGCTTCGCCAATCATGTCGAGCACCCCCGCCACGGACTCCTTGGTCTTGGAGTTAGCAAGCGCTGTCTCAATGATTTTTTTCCCGTGTCCAAGTTCGAATGGCCCCGCTGCCCAATGCTGTTCCACGTTCTGCTTGATCTCTTCTATTGCAGCTTGGACCGTGCTTGGCGACGAATTGAAATCCAAGACGATCTTAACCGAGTTCACCATGCGCGAATGGTCGTCGAGACTCATGTCACGCGGCAAAGTTTTCTCAATGTTCTGCTGCTCGGCCATAGCCTCCACGAACGACCGGACCACCGCCAGCGACTCCTCTAGAATCGCCCTAGAAGCCCTCCAAGCCAAAGACCCCACATCCTAAACCCCAAGCCCTCAACCTCAACCCTGAACCCTTAAGGCCCTAAGCCCTAAACTCCCTAAACTCCCTAAACCTACTATTTGCTTAAGAACCCCCAAAAAAATAGAAAATATATTCCTTATGGAGGTAATATAGGGATTATTACTTTTATTTTTGGTGGGGGGTTTCTTAAGCAAAAGCAAATAGTAAATAGTAGTCCTGTGTCACACCCTTGGCTGTCGAAATGGCCTTGATCAAGCGTTGCAGAAGCTGTGAGGTCACCAGGTTAAAGAAGCCGGATTCCGAAGGTAGGTGCTGGAGGCAGAGGGTCCACGTGTCGACGAAGAACTCTTTCCAAGCCTTTGTCTTCAGATTGTCGAACGCCATTGCTCTCAGTGCTCGCATCCACACTGCAGGCGAGACTTCAACATGAAGCTCCTCACAAAGGCTTGACAACGCCTCGTACACGTGCCGTCCTTCTGGGCATCCTACTGAGATCTTTTTCACGAGGTCCGCCACCCGACTCAAATTGTTCATGAACTCGTCTAGCGCACTGCCCACGTCCTCCGACATCTGGGAGCTTCGGCGCTTCAGAGATTTCTTCTTTGTATACATCTGAGATCGAGCATCCTGGATAGTCTTCAATTTCTCTCTGCTCCACTGGCCAAAGGCCTGTTCGTCCGAGGATGTCACGCCAGTCAGGAGGATGCAATCGGCAAACATCGCTTGGAACTTCTCAATCAACTCGGAGTCTCCGCCGCCGCCGCCATTGCCATCATTGGCGACATCGGTTCGCCTCTTCTTCGTAGTCGCTTCTGATGCTTCCGACTGGTGGTTCGATGTTGACGGAGTTGTTCCCACTGCCCGTTTGTTGCGCGTCTTCCCCGGATTCTTTGGCGCGGGCTGGGCCTTTTCCGCGCTCTCCTGGGGCTTTGATGTTGAGTTGAGGCCCTGTTCTGTTGGTTGAACCAAAAACCATGACCCCAGCAACCCAATTAACGGTCCGGCTGTCCTGCGGCTTCGCTGGCTTGGATTTGTTCTTTGGCGCTGTAGCTGCACGTTTGGACTGGGATGCCAGGCGACCAAACAAGGAAGCGAAGGGCTGGAACTCATCATCCTCGTCGTCGTTGTCAGGCACCTGTGTGTCATTGCATGTCTAAAACCTCATCATCACACAAAAAACAAAACAAATACTAGGCCCTAACCTGAACCTAAACTCAACTCAACCATAAAGGCCCTAAACTAAATCCTGAGCTTGAACACTCGAGCCTCCTCGGATGCAACACCGGCCGTGCCGCCGAAGAACAGGTCCGGAGCTCCTGCGCCTGATGCAG